GCTTCTAGGGCAAAAAAGCTGGTTCACTGAATTGCAACAGTCCAGGTTTTTTTTTGAAAAGCCAATATATTATCTTTTGAGTATAGATCCAAGCATGAAAACTTTTTTTGAATGAACATGTTAACGCTATTTGTTATCAGTAAATCAGTAAGATTTACTATGTTTTATTGTATGCTTTTTCTTTAATGTTTTATATGGATTTAAAATGATATTTTACAGTATAATGACTACTACTGCATCTATTGTGCCAATAATAGCTGCTATCATCTTCATTATAATTGGATGTTGCTGGTATAAAAGAAGTAAGTAGTAAAAAATATAGCTTCAAAAGTATTTTTCATTCAATTTATGTATCATTAAAACAACCATAGAAATTTACCTAATGTTTCCTTTTTGAAGGAAAGCAAAGGACACAGAATTGTGATGTTGATCAAGAAACTGTACCACTTACCGTTAGGTAAAATACCAATTGTATAGTTGAATTCATAATTTTCAGAAGTTATGTCCCTTGTCCGTGATCTTTAGAGATAAAATCATTACATTCCCACGGTGGTTTTTGAAACATTAGCGTTTAGTTTGTAACTTTACCCTATGGCAGAAATATAAGAAAAAAAGAGTTGTTTGAATTAAGACAACTTTGCGTTTCAATAATTACCCTTTTTTCGTGTCATTTCAGGGAAACAAATGAAGAACAAATTGGAATCGGTATGGCATATTCAAATTTTGTTAAAATTATGTTTATTAAAAGGTTGCCAGGACGGGTTTTTTTTGTAAAGTTACTCAAACTTTACTGATTTCGTAGCACCACAGTACACTACATATAATTAATATTCTATTTGCTTTTCATGTTATGTGCAGTAAGGTTTTGGAATTTGATTTTGCCCCGGGGGTAAATTTGACGTTTTTTGTGCAATCCCGTTTCCCTGAACTCCTTCTACATTTTACTCAGTAACAGCCTAATCATTTTTGGGGGATATGGTGGTGTCATGTTGATGTGCAGTATTTTTTCTTTTGATTTTAAAAGGGGGGTCAAATACCTGTTGACACACTCTTGAATTTCTGTAAGTACAACCAATATTTTCCTCAAATATATTTTACTAAAATTATATTTTTTGGGGGATGAAATTAACTTTTAAAAGCGAAAAAATTTGTGTGCACTTTATGCAAGTGTTTTAGTTGATTGGCACCTTAAGATGTACAGCCACATAGAAATCACTCTCATTTTTTCTGTGGTCTTTTAGATGAAATTCATTTCACATTCGTTTTCCGAAAAATTTTAAGCATCATAAACTACGAAATGCTTTCTTATACCCGCACTTTTTAAAGAAAGTTCGGGTATATTGTTGTTACACATGTCCGTCCGTCTGTCCGTCCGTCTGTCACACTTTTCTTACCTGAACTCCTCCTACATTTTACACAGTAGCTTAATCATCTTTTGGGAGGTGGTTGGTGGGGTCATGTAGATGTGCAGAAAAGTTCCGCCGGAATTTTGTTTTTGCCCCGGGGTATCAAAAAGGGGTCGAAAAATGACGTTTTTTTTATACAAAAAGCCCCGTCTTCCCTGAACTCCTTCTACATTTTACTCAGCAACCTAATCATCTTTTGGGGGATGATTGGTGGTGTCATGTAGATGTGCAGTAAGGTTTCGGAATTTTATTTTTGCCCCGGGGGGTCAAATGGGGGTCGAAAAATGACGTTTTTTTATGCAAAAAGTCCTGTCTTTCCTGAACTCCTCATACATTTTTCTCAGCAGCCTTATCATCTTTTGGGGGATGATTTGTGGTGTCATGTAGATGTGCAGTAAGGTTTCGGAATTTTGTTTTTGCCCCGGGGGGTCAAATGGGGGTCGAAAAATGACGTTTTCTTATGCAAAAAGTCCTGTCGTTCCATAACTCCTCATACATTGGTGTTCTCACCAGCCTAATCACTTTAGATTAGGTGGGGTATGCATACTAAATATCGGAATTTTGATTTTGCCTTGGGGGTTCAAATGTTATGGCAAAAAGTAGAAAAAAGCTATTTTTAGTATAAGCCCGTCTTCAGTTAAGGTCCTCTTCATTGACCTTGGTGTTGTTTGGGAGAACTTTTTGTGGTGTCATGTATACTAAATGCATGAGGTTCCTATTTTGATGGTGTCCCAGGGGGTCAAATGGGGGTAAAAAACGTTTTAGTGCAAAAAGCCCCGACTCCCCTGAACTTCTCCTACATTTTACACAGTAGCCTAATCATCTTTTGGGAGATGGTTGGTGGGGTCATGTAGATGTGCAGTAAGATTTAGGAATTTTGATTTTGCTCTGGGGGGTCAAATGGGGGTCTAAAAATGATGTTTTTTATGCAAAAAGCCCTGTCTTCCCTGAACTCCTATGGTTCAAAAGTTATAACAAACAGTTGAAAAACCTATTTTTAGCATATAGGTCACAGTCAAGGTCATGAGGTCATTGACCCTGATGTCATTTGAAAGAACTTTATTAGAGGAGTATGCATACTAATTATGAAGTCTCTATTTCATATGGTTCAAAAGTTATGACAAACAGTTGAAAAACCTATTTTTAGCATATAGGTCACAGTCAAGGTCACAAGGTCATTGACCTTGATGTCATTTGAAAGAACTTTATTAGAGGAGTATGCATACCAAATATGAAGTCTCTATCTCTTACGGTTCAAAAGTTTTGGCCAAGGTTATTCAAAAGTTTTGGCACAAGGTCAAAGTTGACAAAACACCTGTTCATGGGTAATTTATGACAAGTGACACATCAATCAAAAGTTATAAGCAAATGCAACATTTTTGAAAAGTAGATACTTCAAAAGGTCACAGTGAAAGTCATGATTTATCTGGAAAGGTCTTATCATTAAAACAGATGATATGAATGCCCTAACTTTTCTCTTTCAAAATGATGAATTTATAACCATTTTATTTTTTTTTGCAAGTTGGTCAAACTTCTAGGTCACATGTAAAAAAAAAAAACAACACACAAACATAAGTTTAATATGAATGTCTCTTCTCATTCACTAGATATGACCGTGATAACCAAGGTTAAATTTATTGAGACAGATGGACTGAGTCTGACATACAAATGTACATATTTCTATATGAATTGGGTAAAATTGGCCCAGTGGTTCTAAAAGTTAAAAATGTAAAAAGTTTTCAGGATGGACAACACGTGCATAAAAAAAAAAAATTACATGCTGGCAGAGATATGCACCTTGAATTCTTATGATTTGTTTGTTTGTTGTGAATACATGTACATGTCAAATGGAGACACCACCAAATAATAATGAAGATAAGATGTGTTTGTGAAACACTTTATGTACATGTCTCAAATGTATATCAGAAGAAAGTCTTGTCATAATTTAGTCAAAAGTGCCAAGAAAAAAATATACTATTTAACTGGAATCACAAAATACATTGTTATTTCAGGACAAAATTTAGGCAGAGTGGGTAGAAAAATGTGTATTGGAATCCCCAAATGGATATATCCATTTTATCCCCCCCCCCCTTATGGGCAAGCTCTGGCATTTGCTTTATTTAAACAAGACTACATGTATATACTGTAGCAAGTAAAAAATGACTCTTGACATCCTCTCCCTATAAACTTAGAAAACATTGACCTCACTATCATTGTTTTTTTATTTGTTTATTTGTTTTCAATTTTTTTCTCCTGCTTGTCACGAAATTCTGGGCTGGAATTTTTTGACTGAGATGTGAACCCCCCTCCCTACTCCCGAAAAAAATTCTGGATCCGCACCAGTATTGGCAGTAACTGAATGTCACATCGACAACGGGAGATAACTTCACAATATGAAATTCGTCTAGTGTGGCACGCGATGATCTTTGACCCTTTTTAAACTTTAACCTAATCGTTTGGGTGTATTTTACCCCCCACTATACTAAAACTTCTACTTACCGACTCCCTGTGTCTTGTCAACTTCATGAAATTATAAATAGGCCTAAATCCAATTATAACACAAAATGAATTTAATCCAATGCACACCAGACTGCAGCCATGTGCCATTTTGGCAACCTTCGTCGATTCCATCACCTTATCAGATGAAGTGGGTATCGGCCGAGGTGTGCCAAATGGTGTTTAATCTATAAATATGATAATGGGTGACGCAACGTGATGTGATGTAGAAATTTACATGTTCACATGTATAGTACAAGAACAAATTTTAAATTAATTCATAACAAACGATATTAAATTTTAACAAACCTTTTCCATCTAGCCTATTCCCAAAAGTATGTGCTGTGTGATTGTGGTGTCAAGGGGGGGGGGGGGGTTAGTAAATTTAAAAAGGTCCTATTATGAGCAAAAAATATATAAAAATATAATATAATACTCGGATACAGAAATTTTTTCAGGGGGGGGGGGGGGGGGTCCACCTCAGTCAAAAAAAAATCCTATCCCAGAAATTGATAATCAAAAAAAAAAAAACCTAAAGTAAATCTCACCCAAACGTCAAAAACCTATATCGTGGGGGGTGGGGTGGGGGTAGTGGTGACTTCTATTGCCGCAAATGTTTAACTTTTCATACCTAGTTTACACATATTCGTGTTTACCAGGGGGGGGGGGATCTGCATTTTCCAAGGGGGGTCCATTGTAACTTTTTCCTTGTTTTATATATACATTTTTTACCTTGTAAATTCCAGGGGGGGGGGGTCCTCCCCCCCCCCCCGACAGATCCGTGTATAATTTACATCATTAATAAAATTCAGACTGGTATATAATGAATTAAGCATGTATAAAATAAATATAAGAGGTTCTGAGTTATAGGTCACTGGGTCTGAGAATTTCATACTCAATTTGATGAATACATGTAAATTATAGAATTATTTTGACTATTTCTGTGGAAAGCCGCCCAATATGTAGGAGCGTGTATTTAGAGGCAAACACCTTAGTGCGGGTATTACTGTCTCATGACAGCATCTAGTTTTTTTTGTTGACACACACAACATTGTGAATCTTTCAGAGATTATGTATTCTTTTTTTTTTTTAAATGTTACCTGTATACTACATCATCACTCGGAACATTATGGCCCTCTGTAAAAATCTTTTCATATCTGATACCCTGGTGTTCCATATCCTGAAAATAAAACAATTTCTTGCTCATTTGATTGAACTAAGAAATTTGGTCTGAAGTTGTTTGTATGGGAATGAATGTTAAAGCTGTTACAGATGAAATAAAAACTCACTAAATCGGGCCATATAATTTTCTTTTTTGTGATAGCTGCAACGTTTGACATAACAAAATGTTTATAAATATATACCCCCACAAACTGAGTCAAACATTTGCGCTATCCAGCTGCTTTAACTGTACTTACCCGTGCACTGTAGTATTTTGTCGTGAATGTAAGATCTACCACCATTCCTAACTGACATCCAAGGTTTTTTACCATGGAAACCAAACTTCTTGGGGTAAATCTGATAAATGAAAATAAAAGCACATAATAGAAATACATCAAAGTTTTATCTATCCCTCTCTTTCTGTCTGTCTCTCTGTTGTTTCCTGAATTGGTGAGACTAGATGTGATTAAAACAAAGCAGAGATTCTCACTGCAATATGCAAAACTTATAGATAACACATTATATCAGTACATTAAAAATACTCATAATCAATCAATCTTTCACTACATAAAAGACAAAGCAGTTTCCACTATGTCTTTGGAATTTGCAATAAACATCAGTATATTATCAGTAGTTTGAAGTTAGATTAGAAGTAACAAAAAGACCTATATTAATCTGTTATCATAATGTGAAAAAGTCTCTGAAATTTACAAGGAGTGATCAAAAAGTTCGCGAACTAATTAAATAACTTCCATAAAAGAAAACCATATTTGGTTTTAGTGTTCATTATATTTTAAATTAGTCCTCTCCGATTTTAATGCACATCAGCCACCGTCCTGCGCATGCGCGAATCATGAGATATTGGCGGCCACGTGACTCTCTCCGTAGCGTTCTGTCACAAAAGCTGAAAAGTTTTTTATAAACACTCTTTATGTTTTTCCATGTAAGTTAATTTCCCATAAAGAACAGTTCATTTGTTGAAATGGTACAATCTCGGCAACAGAATGGGTAGATAAGAATATTCTTTCCAAAAATAAGCATGGCGACCATTAAAACACAAATCTTCTGTCACGGGAGAGACGTTTATTCAAGGTGGATAGAGAATGGTTGCCTCTTTTTTATCATTTCTAATATGTTTAAAATTTAAAGTAAACGATATCTTAGCTATCTACCCTGGTAATAATTATATTATTGTTCAAATATTCAACTATTTTTCAAAGTTTAAATTGGAGGTCTCTGATAGCAAATTGCTTAATTAAAAACCCATATCTTTTTAAACTTGCTTTCACTGGGCAAGATGACAAGTATCAGTTTTAACCATCTGCCTTCCTTCACTTAAAAGCGATCAATCCAATCATTGATTAAATTTATAGTAAGTCATTTGTCTTAATAAACTGTGTACAAATTATTTTATGTTACGGCAAAGGTGTTTCTAAGATATGCAAGAAATTGAACAGTCGTTTGTTGAACAAGTACGACTCAGAGACAACCATTTTTCGTGACAAGTGACCTACATAGTGACGTCATTTTCACATTGTGACGACACAGAACAAGGAGCAAAACTTTATTCAGTATACGCTATTTATAGAACTTGTGTATGATTATGTGTGTACCAAATTTCATTCTAATCTGAATTGTGGTTTTGTAGATATAGAGATAGTTCGTGAACTTTTTGATCACCCCTCGTATTATTCATCTTTTGCTGTGAAATGAAAAAAAAAACTCACTTTTCCTCTTCTGGAAGTTTTTCACACAATTCCTGAATCAAAAGAAAATTATGTTGCAATTTCACACAAATTGTTATAAATTCCTCATTTTCTACATTTCATTTATTTGTCAATGGGCACCAACATATCATATTACTAAAATATTTAGGAAAAACAAATGAAAAAATAAAATTTAATCCTTACTTCTTGCATAATAAATATACAAGTTCACTGGTATCTTTAACTCCATTTACCTTTTTAAAGGTACTTTCAAATGTTATTAATCTTGTTCCTGGAATCACTTTTCCAAGTGCTCTGTAGCCCTCCCATCTATAAATATAAAGAATATAAGTTATACAAATACTCAATTAAATACATGTAGTATACCAATATGATCAATGGCTGCCAAGTAGCATGATTGCAGACAACTACCGGGTATTTTTATGAGGATTACCCTGTACAAATACTTGAATGTAAATAATGACATTGTATTTTTTGTTTGTTGATAACCAAAAAGAAAAGAATAAAAACCAAACTGCATGGTTTAGAGCTTTACTAATTACTTTTCATGAAAAATAAAAACTAACTATCCATTTCTAAAGGAAACTACGTATTTTAAAATTGGACAAGAAAAACATAACTATGTAACTTTGTATGAGGTTCTACAAAGATATGTATCAATATACTGTTCAGAATTTAACATTTTACAATATATAGATATATACAGATCACCAACACTTCGTAAGAATGCAGTAGATTCATTTAGTTGACTGTTTTCAACCAGAGATGGTTTTCATCAGAACATTCAAGCATGTTAATTTATCTATCATGATCTATAGAAGTAAAAATGGCAAAAACTTTACAATATTATAACAAATCAAAATTATATTCTTGATGGAGTGTATAGCATATCAATGCTTACAGAAACATGTAATATATATGTATGAAGATAACGAACAATATTCAAGCTCAACAGTCCATTAAACAATAAAAATCAGGAGCAGAAGAAACAAAGATCTCTAAAACATCAGAGATGGGAACAGGAACCATGGAGGAGTGAGTATACCCTGCTAAGTAATTTTTTTTTGAAATGTTAAACTAAAAATTATAGGGAAGTATTAAATTTATTTATTTATTTATCCAGGCCCTATTTATTTGTCTTAAGAAATAAATCGAAAAATTACTTACAGTTTATTCGCAATGGATTCAGATACATATGATGTTGCTATTGTAAAAAAATTTTGGTATATTCGGATAAAACTTTCTTATAAAGGTAGACAGAGTGACTGAGCAGACATCTCGGCCCAACGACACCTTGGCCCTTGACGGTTGACACCTTGGCCCTGACAGGTCGGCCCAAAAATATTGACACCTCAGCCCACATGAAAGACACCTCGGCCCAACAAAATTTTGTGTTAGAATTGTGGAAATGCGCAATATAAATGCTATAAGTACAAGTAAAAAAAGTAATACATGTAGTATATTTCATGATTTTTTTTTATTTAGCATGAGAGGTTAATGTGAGGATTAAAACGAATATCTATATGAGTTTTCTTAATGTACATTATGGTGGAAACCATTAATTAGCTTTTATGAATGTTTTCATACGAAATGTTGGATACAATATTCAAAGGAGCCTGCTCGTAATTACCCCTCATCGTCACCAGTACGACACACACTTATTTGCCATTCCAAAAGAATGCCATGGATTTTTTTTGTTTAACAATTGACTGATTAAGCACCTTAATTATGTCTTCTCATTCCTTGATTAAAGTTAATCTCTTTGGCTAAGTTTCTTTATAAATAATGGAAAAAATGACTGATTGTTTTTTTTCACTTTACAATTAGCAAATTCTGAAATTGGAAATATTACATATTTCTCAATGAAAATTCTATTTGGGCCTTGGTGTCTCATAGATTGGCCGACCTGTCTTCAAACCTGGGCCAACCTATCAGAGCCGAGGTGTCATTGGGCCGAGGTGTCAATGGGCCGAATTGACGTTGGGCCGAGGAGTCTGAGACTCTGACATAAAGATATACCCGGTAAGTTAAAAGCACAAGGGCGGCCTTTCATCTTTATTTTTTTAAATTAAGCTGCTCATCATCAGTCTACTGATCAAACAATTATCCGACAAGCAGAGATTAATTATGGGTAAACCCAATCAGGTCGAATCAACTCAGCGCGAAAAGTAAAAGGGGCGAAACCAATCAGAGCAAACAAGGAATCGGTGCGAAACTAATCTCAGCGAGATGTCATAGGGACTAAAATATTTGGTCTGACGTCCACTACGACGTCGCTGAGATTAGGGCGAAACCACCCGCATTCCTTCTATAGATAGTTTTCGATTGACCAAGAGTTACTTCCCGTTGGCCGCCATACTGGAGGTCCAAACGCTTATATTCCTTCATTGTTCAACCAATTTAAAATTTTTATATTTGCTATTCTGAATTAGAAATCATTATTTTTCTGAAGTATATAAATTTTTGGAAGCCTCCTTTATTTAAAAAAAAATTATTTGATAAAGATTTTCCACCAAATATTTCTGCTATAGTTTCTTAAACTTGGTAAGACAAAGAGGGAAAATCACTGAGTCGACCTCCAATATGGCGGCCAACGGGAGGTAACTTTCGCTAAATTCAGGCCTATCGAAAACTATCTATTTAGGAGCAAGTAGATCAGCACATGGTTAACAAATATGGTTTAAAAAACACAAAAAAATCTGGATGTAATTAAAATATCTTATTCAACAAATAACATGGGTAACAATGTGACTTAAAACAACATATAAGATACATTTAGCAATAGCATACCTTTCCGGTGGTGACATTCTTACTCGCAGTCGAGGTATATTTACTATACAGAAACAGCGATGAGACCGTGGTCTCTTCTTACCACGTGACTAATCAGAACGAGGCTACTTTCATTTTTGCATTGCCTACGTGCAACATGGAACCATCGAAAATTAAGCCTTGTGATATCTTCAGATTACAGCCTATTAAGCAGCAAGTAAGTGACAGTGTAACATAATATAAACCTTGTCATGGTTTAAAATGCAGATTTTCACATAGAAAGCCATGATGATCATTTTTTAAAATGTTTTTAACCAACTAAAATGACTATATATACATGTCATGATATAACAACTACATACAAGAGACCAGGGACTATAATACACTACATACTTGTCATGGTCTCTATATAACTATTACATACAAGAGACCAGGGACTATAACACACTATATACTTTCACGGTCTCTATATAACAATTACACACAAAGACCAGGGACTATAACACACTATATACTTGTCATGGTCTCTATATAACAATTACATACAAGAGACCAGGGACTATAATACACTATATACTTGTCACGGTCTCTATATAACAATTACATACAAGAGACCAGAGACTATAACACACTATATACTTGTCACGGTCTCTATATAACAATTACATACAAGAGACCAGGGACTATAAAACACTATATACTTGTCACGGTCTCTTTATAACAATTACATACAAGAGACCTGGGACTATAACACACTATATACTTGTCGCGGTCTCTATATAACAATTACATACAAGAGACCAC